CTTACAGGCTTTGGCTATTTTAAATTTCATACGCGCGCGTGTTTTTCTATTTATATGTAAATTTTTACCAACATGACGCCTGAAAGTATACTTCTTTGTTTGCACTGCGACTACTTTTGCTGCAAGGGAAGATGAAGTATCTATTTAGGCTGAAGTGAGGGCATCTGTAAAGCAATAAACATGAAATTTCGCTGTTAACTTTCACTCAACACAGCCAGAGCGGCAGACGGACGGCAGTCAGACAGGATATTAGTGTTGCCAAACAAAAAAGATACAAATATAATTTATGTTGGCATGTACGTGATAACCACTTCATCGCTTCATTTGACGGATGTTAACATGAACTGGTATGGCGACTAAGAAGGGGCACAAGGAGTAGCGGAAAGTTATATTGTCATTGGAGGCGTAAGGGCATGCTTAAGTGTGTGCTCAGTCCTGCATTGCAAAGTGCACCTTAGCAGTTTTATCGATTCTTTGACAACGTCATTGCTTGTCGCAAATTTCTCAAATTCCCGAATGTAATTCGTAGTGGGTGAGTTATTTCATATTTTTCTATAAACTATATACCAGAATATACATACTACATCGAGGGATTTGTGTTTACACATTGGTAAACCGATTGAGATATTTAGACAGGGAGTTATGATAGTATTGCACACACACACACACAGTGAATGGTTGACGTTGAATAGAAAAAAGTAATATTAATTTTTCTTCCTTTCAAACGAATACTGTCTGATTGCCTAAAGGAAGAAGGAAATGCAATTTATTCAGTCAGACACGAATCGATTTGTGCAAATTGAGAGACATAACCGCTTATGATTGCGGTTGGGTGACGTAGCTACATACAGCTATACCGATTTGAAGTAAGAAAGTAATTTTTCATTTGACCGAGGAGATACTTTCGCAGACTCCACTACATTAACTTTAATTTGCTTAACACGAAGGCAAGTCGATAATTACAGCACTTCGCACTATTGTAGGTGATATAGAAAAGGTATTTGCATCGCGGGAAATAGCCCTCTGTTCATTTATGCAGGGTGCAGCTATGCAATATGCTAGCACAAACAACTAAAAAGGCGAATCTAGGACCGGAAGAACTGAGGATCACTACAGTAAAAGTCTGTCCCTAGGGCGAAGTCCTATCTGCACTGTTATGGTCTATACTGATTGACGATCTACTCTGTCCAACATAATCAATGGCGATCATAAAAGGATCATTAGGGACTTGATGCAAGACGCTCTAGATAGAACTTTCAACAATTGGTGCAAGAAAGAGAGGTTATACATAAATCCCAGCACTCAGTAGGATACATGCTTTTCTAGAAGCAATCAGATGTGTGGTAACGATAAGACGAAAACGACAACTTTGATTCATATTTGCCTCTCAAACTCATAATGATTGCATTTCAATGCTGCAACAGCATTCAGTCAAACCAATTCCGAGCTAAAAGCCTTCCTCGTCTTAACTCAGCTCAATGCGACATTTGCAAACGCTTCACTTAAAAAAGTAATGATTTCAACCTTGGAGCGATATATAACACTTGCCAAAGCGCAATAATATCGTATTCGCATTACGCTTAACTACATGGTAGGTAGTACAGATACAGTGGAGGTAAATGAATTAGTAACCTAATTTACTTTAATTAGAAGGTAACTTTTAGAAAATTGTACATTACGGACCGCTTTAATTAGTATGTAGTTAGGTTTTTTTTTTTTCTTTTTCAGACTAGTTAAATAAAAAAAATTTTCTACGACTGATTAAAAAAATCGTACTTCAGAAGTTCTGTCAAGTAGACATATGTCACGCATGCGAATTATTTTTTCTCCATCCTTACTTATAAGTCCTTCACTGTATACACATAAATACAAGTAAACATTTTTCTCACTCAACAGCATTCAGTTAACTGCTTCGCTGGAATTCAATGAACTCTTCAAAATCTTTCGTTCCGTTCTAATTCCGACATTCAAGGCTACTATATAGCAAATAGCTAAGCTGATGCATAGTTTTGGGCGCATAAAATATTCAACAAGCATCTGGTTTTCAAATAGCACATCGACATTACATAAGGCAAGTATCTTGGCACTCATAAGTGCTAAAATTTGCTGAGTAAGTGAGCCAAGGAAATAAATTCCAGCATTTTTTATAATGCAATAAATTTTTATATGCGCCCAAGCTACATACAAGGCAAGGAGGCAAGGAAAAACGATCAGCAGACAATACCAGAAAAACTTACTCATACATACACACATTGTAGTGTTTTTCTACGAGCATATTTTCTTCTGTGTCGCAAGGCGAATTGGAATTCCAAAGCAGAGCAAAGCATGTTTGGCAAAAATACCTAAGTACATACTACTAAGGAGTACGAAGGGAAACACGAACATGGCGCTGGCAACATGAAGAGCCAGCAAAACAAATTAAACGCTAGTGGAATATTAAAACAAGTAGAGACAGCAAAATATTAAGGTCGCCATAGTGGAGTGGTGATAGGAAAATGACCAGATTATTTGAATGCCTTTCGGTCTTGTGGGTGGAGTTGAGAAAATTGCGTGTGTGTGTGTGGGTGGATCGATTGTGGAGACAGCAACATAACTTACTATAAACACGTACATACATGCATATGCATAGACAGACATGCCACGCTATGTTCGAGTATAGAATTAAAGTGTTGCATAGTTTAAGGCGTTAAGTGTTAAGCGTATTAAAGCGTTAAGGCTATAAGACTTTAATGGGTAAATATTTGTTACTGCAGCTATTGCAGTGAGAAAATGAAATACATATGTATGGGGTGTAAAAAAGCAGGAAAGGAGACGAAAATTAACACCTTTAAAAACTGTTTGAACGCCATAGACTTGGTGAATTCGAGTGTCAGCTATGTACATATGTACATATAACAAGAGTGTATCGAGCCATCACGAAAATATTAAATTGTTAATAGAGCAAGTTATGGAAAGAACGGAATTTTAAAATAGAGTCTTTATTCTAGTACCTCTAAATATGTAAACTTATTTTAATTATTTCTGTTTGTCTGTTATCAATAGCTTTTCTAAGACTTAAACGAAATTTAAAACAAGTAAGAAAGTCTAAGTTCGGTCGGAGCCAAATATTAAATACCCGGCGCAACATGGTAAGCGTAAATTAGCGTCCTTAAATTTCGAAATATTGAAGAGTCAAGCATTTCTGAAATTTACCGTTATATGAAAAGCGGCCGCAATTTCAACGTTTGGCATTTGTGTGGCAAGCACAATAACCATACAGAGTTTGGTGCCAATTGGTAGAGCGGTTACCGAGATACATATATGTGGTAAAGAATTAATGCAAGCATCAATTTTGAATAAATTAGCTTTAATATTTACTGATTTATCTCGAAGATTTCGTATATGGAAGGTAGGCGTGGTTATTGTCCGATTTCGCCCATTTTCAATACCATCCGTCCCTCGCACGTACCGAATTTCGTTAAGATAACTCGATTTTTACTCAAGTTATCGTGTGCACAGGCGGACGGACGGACGAACGGACGGGCAGACAGTCACCGCTTAATCGATTTCTCTTTTCATTCTGATCATTTACGTATACATTTGTCTATATCTATCTCGATTCGTTTTGTCTGTTAGAAACAACCGTTATGTGAACTTATATTTATAACTGTGTCTGAGAGGGCACTTTTCAAATCTTTACTGAGGAACACATTAAGTAATAATTAACCCTTCTGCAATGATCGAATAAAAATGACCCAATTTACATGAAATAATTCTTTAATTAATAATCAGCTATGGTTTTGAAAAAAATAAAACTTGTTTATTTTATTTTGTTTTCTAGAAGGCGGCATAGTTTTTACATACACACACAGTGTAATTCTAAGCCAAATTATTTAGTATTTAAAGGCAACTTTGGACCGGTAAATGTGATAAATAAAATATTAACTGAATACATGTTGAAAAATCGTTTTTTTTTCTATCTTAACATTGACTAATTTCTTTCATTGGGTCAAAAGGGTAAATTCCAAACACTGCCGAAGGGTTAAACAACTCTGAGTGCGGCAGTTTGACTGCGAAAACTAATAATTCTTCTTTTATAACTTTGGTGAGAATTCCCTACATTTAAAACTTTTTAAAATATCTGTCCCAAAAGTAGGAAATTGTCCCTACGTGTAACAACGCTGGTTGGTAGCCTGTTTGCTTGTACGCCGCACTGTTTCGACAGATACTTGCTGAGGAGGGCTTGGTGGCCATACAGCATGCTGAAGTCCTTAGCTAATGAAGTAGATGCGAATGCATGGCTGTTTGCTATTTAGAGAGCAAGCTGCCCCATACGAGTGTGTGAGGAGGAGGTAGCAAGACCGTTGAGATGATAGCCCAAGAATCCGGTCAAATATGAGTGCATTTGGGAACATGGTTTTACCGTAGGTAACCCGGATTTTGGGCCTCTTATTTTCATGGTTTGCATGGACCCTTGAACACGTTCTTGCATAAAAGGCGCTTGTCCGAGTCGACAGTATAAATCTGTGGGCCGGCACGGAGAACTAGGTCCATGTGGTATGTCCGAAGAACTCAGACACTACGAGCCTCGAAGATGCGGTGTTTAATTGGACTGACGGATAATTGGATGTAAACAGAGTGGTCTACACTAATCGGAATGTCGAGATTTTTTTGTGTGGCGAGGGAGGTCAATTGGGTGATAAGCGGCTTCGAACATAATTAATCATAAATAAATTCGATCGGGTGATTTCTGCGCTAAAAGCGCTTTTAAATGCTATGAAAATTCGCACTTCACTTGCAACGCCTAAAACCACACTTCACTGTAGCCACTCTACTCATACAACGCGCGCACACACTCACACTCACACTCACACTCAACTCCATTACACACGCCTAAGAGCACACTACATTTAATTGCCACATTAAATAGCCAATAACGGCAGCGATAAATGAAGTTTGCACTAAAGTCCGCAGAAGGAAAAAAAACAAGCAAATCGTATCAAATCCATGATTGCACTTACCCCTGCCACACTGTGTGCGGCCAAATGTTTGCCACCGCCGCCCGCCTTGCCGGCAATACTTGCCACAGCGCCAGCGCCACCAGCTGGACTACTCGACAACTGCATCGACTCATTGGAGTTGCCAGATATTTGTGATGAGTTCATTATTGAATTACTATCGCCAGTAATGCCAGCGGCGCCCCCATCCGGCAACAAATGAAAGTTTAATTGTGTACCAGCGCCACCCGAGCTAACTGCAGCTCCACCAGCATTATAATCCGACGAGGACTCGGTATCACTGCCCGTGGCGGCATTCGATGTATGGAAGTTGGCTGCATCCGCATCACTGCCTACTCGACCACCACCTCCGCTTAGCGATTGCAGGATGGGTGTTGTGGGTGTCGTCGTTGGATGCGGTAATTGCTGCAATGTAGTCGATATCAAAGTGGGTGCGCCAATATGTGGCACTGTATTGGTGGTGGTGGTGGTACTGCCGCAGCTGTTGGAATGGCTGTTAGCCATTTTCTGTAACTCAGCTGCTAATGCTTTGCCCGTTTTGGGTCTGGTTGTCGTGGTCGTTATTGTTTTTGTTGTTGTTGCTGCTTCTCTTACTACTTTTGCTTGTCCATGTACATTTCCGCTTGTTAATTTCGACGGACGCAATTTTTCTGACATCCCACGCTAGGAATTTGTGTTGTTTTTTATTTCGAGTTTGTGACGTGGCTTGTGCACTCGTTGCGAGTATGTGACTGCTATTCTCCAGCGCAGCGATGCGGCAGACGCGTCAAAGCGTAGAAAAATTCATCCAATTGCCTGGTTCCACTTCACACAGTTGCTACACACGAATCAAGGACAACATTGGGGTAGTTCGTTGTTCTTTTCGAGAGGTTTATGCAGAAGAGCCTTTGGAATTGGCTGGTCGTGAATGTTCGTCCAATGGAATTTCTTTTGCAGTCGTCGCTGTCAGCGTCCGTTCACAAGTCCTGTCCGCGGTCAGTTGTTACGGCGTTGGTTACCCTAGTAAATCATCTGCAATGAGAGAGACAGCAAAATGGAGGAATCAGTAAAATTAAGTATAAAAAATCTGAAACAAGCAATTCATTAAATGCATCAATAATAACAAAAGGCGACAAATTAGTACCTCCTTTCACTAAATGTGGCTTATAATTTGCAAATACAAATGGTGACCCAACGACCCGTGCACGCAGAGAGTCTACGGCTTATTTATTTGAGAGAACTTAAAAGAGTAAAAAATGAAATTTCTGAAACCCGGCATACGAGCATTCGACGATCTACGCAAACTTTCGACTTGAAAACTAAAGCAACGGATCAGTGCATCCCAAAGCTGGTTCCGATTCAATTCTTATCTACGCCCTTGCTTACTAGAAGTAAATGGCAGAATGGCAGCCTCTGGGCACAGATCTAATAAACTTTTTCAAAGACGATCGAAGTTGGATGCTACGGTCGGAGGAGGTGTGTTCCGTCACTGTACTATCCGCAAGCTTCAAGTGTTTCAATCAAAGGTAAGGTTAAAAAGACAGCCGACTGGTAAATATCTACTCTGAAAGCTAACGCGTTAGGATTATAGAATCACGGATCGGATAAGGGCATACAGCATCTCTCTCTGACACCTAGGATTTCTTCCAATTAAAGGTTATTATGATTCCAAAACACAGCGACCTTGAATGATGAATAAGCTAGGCAGCTTGTGGCCAGTAGGCTTTCAGTCGGCTCAAAGAGCGAAGGTATGCAGCTGGCGGTCAGCGGAGCCTCCTCAGCTGGCTAACCGTCAACTCTCAGTCACGCCAGAAGTCGTGGCCGAGCACTATACAATAGGAACCGCCTATTGCCGCAAGCGAATCGCATTGGAAAAATCTGCAAGGATGCCGCATGTGTTAGCTCAGATCCACTAGTAAAGTGCCAAAACATATTTTTTGATGTACGTTCAACTCGATCATCTTGACATTTTGTATGGCACTTGCAGCCACTAGTATATTTAACACAAAAGACTCCTCGGACAACGGCACTAGAACGCAGTACACAATTTGGACTGATCACAAATTTTTCGAATTGGAAATGAGGATGACGAAACTTCAACTACAAGACTTGACTTACTTTGAACGACCCAGCTCAGAAAGCTAGACTACTTTGCAAGTTGTTTGAGGTGCAGATTCTTTAAAGCGGTAAGCGAACAGAAGATGACCATTGGAATAGCCGAGCGCTTTCTTTTTTACAGCGCTCCAATTTTGCTCCCGGAACTTACTAAAAATAAATAAGCATGCTATGATATTGGGTCTACGTACAGGTGGTGGAGAAATAAGGTCGACCTTATCTCGGTAATATGACATTGTAGAGTTCACGCCAAATCAGTTGACTTCTGACTTGATAAACTTCGGTTCTGCCGATCTTATATTGACGCAGACTTAGTTCCTGCAGTGTTTTTGAAAAACCTTGACAGACAGTCAAGCGACATGAACAGGGGACCTCTTATCAAACTTAAAAGCATAGGGCAGCCATCATTTTTAAGGCGAATAATTAGAAACGAACTCAGCGACAAAATGTGGCAACACTGGAACTGCTCGGCAACCTAAAGGGTGTTTCCTATCCGAATAAGGAGTCAATAAGTTATTTAAAGTTGCCTTACACTGCTCGCATATAGTATGCTATAGTATAGTTTACACTGAGCTGACTTCCACGCAATTTCTTATAAGCCAACTGAAGACTATGCCGTTGGTTTCTAAGACATAATAATGTTCTCTGCGATCTAAATCCAAAGAACAATGGATCCGAAACCTAAGTATATACTTATTAAGACTATTAAAAGAAACAGACGGTCTCTCGGGCGTATTCCAACGGATTCGACAATTGAGCATAAATACCGCCTGGTTCGGAGTTCAATATAATGATTTGCACACGAGCGAACCTAACTCATATTCAAACATATGAAACCAAATTAAGAGTCCACATTCTGTCCACAATTTTAAGCAGCCGTAAGAAAGAGTATTCACGTCGACTTATCAGGCCGCGGCGTATAAATTCCGACGGTGAAAATTCTTCAATAAAAACGGAAGTAGAGCTCCGCAACAAAGTCCTCAAATCGCCCACCGGCAGCAGTTGGAGCAAAGACTAGTGGGAAGCGGCGGCCCTTTTTATTCTATTCAGTATTTCTGCATGCCCTTGTCTTGAACTCTCCAACACAATAAGAACCCATTGGATACAAATGGTCTGATGACTGTGGTTTACAAAGCACAGGTGATGTGCGGTGCCAGTCCCCATTATTTTCCACTCAACTTGGAATCAAGAATGATTCCGAGGTATTTTGCTTCGGTGGATAGCTTCTCCTAATATCGGCAGAGAAAAAGTAAAAGTGGGAACTTTTGTTTTTCTGGTAAACTTTTGTTTTTATTAGCTCACAATGTGAGCCTTTGATGAAATTGAGTGGGCGTTTCACAACGCTACCTTTGACTCTATGTACGTACTCTGCGCCCAGAAGACTTGACAAAACATAATATCAGGATCTACAATGATAGCCAATCTGATCTAAAGGCCTTGAAAACCGCTCGCACTTCTTCAAAGAAAGTCCAGGTCTATTAGTTGAAGTTGAACTCCGTTACAAGGTGGAATGAACTCGAACTTGTGTGGGTTACGTTGTTCAAGGTTGTACGAACTGGCTGATGAATTGGGGAACTGCCGTTTTTTGGAGATTCGTATTGGACCGGGGACAATTTTAGGCTCAAGCATAGCGGGAATGATCCGGTACATCAAGGATCTCATAAATAAAACTTATGAGAGCCATTGGTGTGGTATTGACGCCTGCAAAACAACCAAGTGTGTTTTGAAAAGGTCTGACAGGGTGGTAGCAAAAGTCTTTCTTAGACAAAGGAGTAACGCGAGCCCTGATAACAGGGCACAATCCATAGGGACGACATACGGTCTCCATAGGCATCATCGACGATCCACTGTGTACATCTTGTTTGGCGGATGAGGATGGAACAGAGCATTTTATCTGCCGCTGTCCGGCCTTCGCCAGACTTATCTATATGAAAAATTTTTGGGTCGGATGTAATAAGAATGCACGATATAGATTCTCTTTCCCTCCTGTAATTCCTGTCTCTAGGCCTTAAGTACAATGGGCAATACTGCTTGAGTGCTTGGTTTTTCCGGCAACCCAAAATTTCGTTTCATTACATTCCAGCTCACCTATCTTTGACAAAGTTTGCCAGTGATGATTATCCCCAAATTTTCGGCATAGGCGACAACCCTTATTCTTTTAGTTTTAGACACTTTCATAATTTCGTTCACCACCAAGAGCCAAAGAAGAGGCGTGCCTACTTATCGCTTTTAAGCGTTTTTCGAATGAACGATCGCCACTAACCAGTTCATCTTAAAATGCGAGTCCAACCCCGCTGTTAGTTATGTAAGTTCGGTGGCTAGGCTAGGTTAAGTAGCCGCTGCAACAACAACAACAACAATATAACTATAAAAGTTTTCATTCGATGTTCTTGTGAAAAAATATGCCTTTATCTTATCTCTGGTAAAGAGATAGCCATAAAACTGATTTCTTTTTTTTTTCGAAGTACATTTGTACATACATATGTGCCGTACATCGCACACCCAATTCATTATTATAACAATTTCATAGTTCAGTGACATTTTCCATTGATTGAACAGCCTAGGTATTTTTTTACATGACATACTTTAACCAAAACCCTGCATATTGCAGCTATCGAAATTAACGCTCATACAACATAGATACTGGTAGCAGTCAAGCATTTCTTCCTCCCCAAAATCGTGATGAAAACTAATAAAAATTTCGAATATAAGGGCTACCAAGTGAAAATGTGTTTGGTTACGCTGCTGAATCAACCCACTACCGAGTTTGACATATTTACATATATGGCAGCACGTTCGTTTAAATACTATTTACTTTACATATATGTGTGTACGTGTGCATGTGACACTGCATGAAACATTAAATTGAGGCAGCATTATCAAACAAATCGAATAAAATAAAAAACAGAAAAAGTTTTATGAAAAGAAATGAAAAAATTAATTGGATACTTCCACAGCAGCGAGCACTCAGATTACCAACGTTCGAGTACGAATACTACTTGCATTACATTTTTATCAATTTTTTTTTTTTTTTTTTTTTTTTTTTGCTAGTTGTAAAATTTTTTTATACCAATTAATGTCAGTAACTTCTATGCATTCAACCCGCATCACATTACATCACACTAGCCGCATGCTTCATCTGTCAAATATGCGCAAACGCAAATGTCAAAACGAATAAAAACAATCCGTCGTCGTATATGTCATTGTCAATGTGATAGAACGGTGCTTAGGCGGTCGCCGTGAGTCCATGTGTGGCATAGATTTTACTGCAATCTGTTTCTTATTCTTATTCTGTGGGCACTAGATAAGCATTTTGCCGATGAATTCGTTGTGCTGCGCAGCAAAGTCAATTCAATCTTTTACTGGTTTTGTTGGCGCACATAAATGAAGCCCCTCTCTCTCTATTCGGCACTGGCTCGTATTCTCATGCAAATGTTTTGCTACATCTTTTACTACAGCTTGACTTTCTTTTAAGGTTTGGGGGCATACATGCATATGTACGTGTACATTAGGGTGTCCCGGAACATAAGGGGTGAGCTTTTTTCTGAGAAATTCATTACGCAACGCATACCCTCTAAATGTTTTCCTTTTTGCCTAAATAACATATCGTCGGCTGAGTGGAAGAACGCCCTATTTCAATATACTTTCGTTATATAGGCAGCTTAGTTAGGGCGTTCTTCAACAAAACTATCAAATAGGACGTTTTTCAATCGTTTGCTTAGATAGGGCAACTTCCACTTACACACGTCGATATACTGTGAATCGCACAAGTATTTTGCTTTGGTTTTTATACGATATTCAAAAAGTTTTTCATGGTAAATCTTATCGTAATTTTTTTTTATAAAAATATAGCTCACAACAAAAACAATGTAAATCAAATGTTGAAGTATTAGTTATAAATGTTAAGTTTACAATAG